GATATTTTCTCCTCCCAATGACTTTTGAGAGAGGGTCTCTCTGTGTAACCCCAGCCATTCTGGAACTGGCTGTGTAGGCCAGAATTCTGCGACAGATCTGCCTGTCTCTCTCTGTCTCCTGGATGCTGGGGATTAAAGGTGTGCACTACCACAACAGCTTCCTTTCAGTTTCTTAGTGACAGAGGCTGGACATCACTGTACTGAGGAGGACTTGTCTCCTCTCTCCTTCAGTGCTGGGGGTGGAACCTGGACCCTCAAGTGCACTAGGCAGCTGTGCTACCGCTGAGCAATGAATCCCCAGCCCATCTTAACTCTTGACTGACAAGCTAACTAATGGCCCCAATAACTTCTCCACAACGCCAAACTTCGTAAAATCATTACCTTACAGATGAACATCATTGCTAGATTTCAGAACTTGGTTTCAAATGTTTCATTAATTATATAATTTTGAAGAGGTCACTCACTTCCCCAAATAAGTAGCTTACAGAAATGGCTAAGTCATAATAAAAGAGTTTCCTGACTTTTACAAAACTGCAGTACCAGATTAGGGAAAAAAAAAAAAGTACTTAGAAAAAGTTTTACAAACACATACAATACAATGAACAACTTTCTTTACTAGATAATGTGAATCTGAATTTTAAAGTATTACTGTATAGCTCTTTAACCTTGCCACTAAAAACTTGCTTAACTGATTTCCCTGAAGTAAAATTAATGGAGAATTTGCTATCCATGAATGCTTCTTCAAGTGGGTGGCAAGTGATGGACAAATATTTATTAAACTCACAAGCTTTTAAAAGATTAAAGCAATTTTATCGGGCTTTCATGGAGTCACTGAGGAGGGGAGCTTGAAGGGTTAAAAATCTATACAGTCCTAAGACAAATACGCAAGAGATCCCATAAAGCCTAAGTGATAGAACACAAAAATAAAACGGACAGAATTACCATCACTTTTTGCTTTTGATCACTTACGTTTGTCATCTACATAGAACACCCTCGGTTCTACACTATGCAGATTCCCTAGTCCAACCTTGGCGCTTGCTCTGACACCTCTGGCTACCCTATTACTAAAGAATCTAGCAAACCTCAGACATCAGATTCCAAGTTTCCCGACAGTAAATAAGCTTCAGGATCCCAGATGACAATTTTCCAATTTCTGATTATGCTATGACATAATTATGACATCAACAAGTAGTAAGGGAGCATTTCATTGTCAAGGCAACCAGACTACTATGACAATATCGTAAGAGCCCATATACTACCTCTCTCAATCTCGCTAGCGAAATAACTTGAGCCAAGAGTTGTGAACAATCCAAGATCAGATCCAATTAAGTGGCAGAGGATGAAAACTCAGTGCTGTCAATTTTGATGCATACCTTCATTCTAAGCACTCAGGAGACAGAGGCAGAGAAGATCTGTGAGTTCTGGTCTACATAACCAGTTCCAGGACAGCCATGGCTACATGGTAAGACACTGTCTCAAAAAAAGAGAGAAGAGGAAGGAAGGAAGGAAGGAAGGAAGGAAGGAAGGAAGGAAGGAAGGAAGGAAGGAAGGAAGGAAGAAAGGAAGGAAGGAAGGGAGAAGGAAGAAGGAAGGGAGAAAGTTGTCCACAAAGAATAACCATTTCTTATAATTGCATTATTTAGAGTTGACAAACATCAGCTAGTATGTGCTAAATTCCTAAGACCATAGACATAAAAGGCATCAAATTAGGAAAGTACATCAGATATAATTTTAATAGTCCACTGCCTTACTCACTCAGACACCTTGTTCAAACTAGGTTTGAAAAAAAAAAAAAAAAAAAAAAAACAAAGTTGTTGTTGAGACAGGGTGTCTTTAGGTGGCCCTGGCTGTCCTGGAACCCACTGTGTAGACCAGACTGAAACTGAACTTGTACTCAGATATCTTCCTGCCTCCGCCTCCCAAGTATTGGGATCAAAGGCTTAAGCCCTATGCCCAGCTTCAACTAGGTAAATTTTAAAACTTCTAGTTTAAAAAGGAATCTGAACAAAAAAGGCTATAAATACTGAATGAAAAAAATATGAAAATCAAACTTTAAGTATTTCAAGACATGAACACAAAAATGCAATTTTAGGGTTTGGCTAAAATTAATACACTAATATTGTTATACTTTACAAACATTTTCAGAATCACATAAACACTAATAAAATGATGCTTCTGCAGTCTATGGGGGAAGTTTTCAACAACACTCATCTTTCAAGTGCTAGCACTGAAACCTATTACAAAGAACTTTTCACTTAATTTTTTAAGATTTCTTGAATTACCACAATCAAGTTTATGTTTATTTCTTTATCTCCTACCTATTTTAAGTATTACCGTTAGCAAAACATTCTTTTAAGGATGAGTTCTTAAGCTGGGCGCGGTGGCACACGCCTGTGATCCCAGCACTTAGGGAGACAAAGGCAGGGTGGATCTCTTGAGTTTGAGGCCAGCCTGGTCTACCCAGCAAGAGTCTGGTTTTTAAAAATGAAGATAAAGTACACCAAAAAAGCTCACGCCTTTAATCTCAGCAGAGGCAGGTAGATCTCTGGGTTCAAGGATAGCTCAGTCTACAAGAGTTCCTGAACAGCCAAACCAAACCAAAACCAAAACCAAAACCAAGACAACATAAAAGCAATTATAACTCAGCTTTAACATCCATATCCTCTAGTAAGAAACTGAAAGACTGTCCTAATTTGGTTTTACTGCATATAAAAATTATCTGATTGCTATCAAGTGATCAAATGACACATCACACATGCACAGGATCCATGTTTTTAAAATACAGCTCCTATTGCAGCTTAACTGATCTCTTCTTCAGCAATAGTAATAACCCCTGTGGTTAGCTACGGAAACCTAATCTTATCTAAAATACTTGCTGAGTTAATGAATACATTTGATCATTTAGTTGTAGTGTTATGCTTAATTAAGTTATTTTGAAAAGAGCTAACTAATGCTGTTAAGATGGTCAGGAAGTAAACAAAGATACTGAAATTACTGAAACAAAAACCACACTGAGTGCCCTTCAAAGTAGGCTATGGAGCTGGAGAGATAGCTCTCCAGCTATTTCTTGCAAAGGACCCCAGCTTATTCCCAGGACCATACGGAGCAATTTCCAAGCACGTGTAACTACAGTTCCAAATCAGACATGGCCTCCGAAGGCACCTGAACTCACAAGCACACACCCACACACAGACACAAAACACATACAATCAAGAAATAAAAATACAAGCTGAGTAGCAGTGTTGCACGCCTTTAATCCCAGCACTCTGGTGGCAGAGGCAGGCCCATTTCTCTCTGTGAGTTTGAGGCTAGCCTGGTCTACAGGGTGAGTTCCAGGACAGCCAAAACTACACACAGAGAAACCCTACCTCAAAAGACCTAAATAATTAAGTAAATGAAATACATCTTCGTCCAAATACTATTTCCAAGAAAAATTATCAGATACTTTGAAATGCATATAAAACGTCAAGGTTTAACTTTAATTAAAACAGAAAGGGTCAGTTCCCCACTCTAATCAACAGACAAAAGAATGACACACTGCTGCTAGAGGCTAAGGTAGTGGTTGATGCACAGAAACAGGCATAAAAAGCATTTTCCCCACCGTTAAGTTAAAGTCTCCGAATAAATTCCAAAAATATCTCTCTTACAAACAACTGCCTTTTCCAAATACTGTAAAAGTGGAAAAGCTAACCAGCTCTCTTGCCAAATACAAACACACGGCCAAATACAATCACAAGGGTGGTGGATTTTAATCTTTTTTCTTTAGCCTTAAATAATGCCTGTATCTTAAGACAGATCATCTTCAAGTGTTCATAACAAATGTCTTAAGAGAGATAAGAATCTTAAAGCAATCATATAGCCCATCCGCTGTCCAACTAGTGTTCCACAGTTCCTTTTTTGGCCTCAAATGACGAAACTTCTCTACCGTCTCTGGGGAGACGGGTAAAGTGTAACGTTTCCTGAAATTGTTCTTGTTTCGCTGCACCATTTCATGACACCTCTTCAACTAGAAATGTTCCTTGCAGTTTTATTGTTCTGCAGGAGAGGCCAGAAGGACAGCCAAATGCAAAAAGAATATTGTTAAGGAAAGCAGGTTGAAAGAGGATGCAGTGAAGGGGATGGGGGGGGGGGGGGTAAGAATTAAAAAGAATTTTAAGAAAAACAAGGGCCAACCAGGAGGATATCACACGGGTTAACAGCCGTCTTCTACCTAACTAAGGTTTTAAAGGTCTGGGGAAGAAGGGCAAAGGAGACACGGCCTTACCGAGTCCGCAAGGGTGGGGCATCGAAAGAAGAAAAAAAAAAATTTAAGAGGGCGAGTTTCTCCCGAATCCGAGGACCAGGCCCACGAGCTCGCATCCTGGGTGGCACAGGACGCTGGGGACACGGACGAAGGGCGGCTTCGAAGAAGAGACGTGGGCTGCCGGGGAATGCCCGGGAGTGCGGGCTTGACAGAGAGCAGGCACCCACGGGGCACGGGATGACGACCGGAGAGCAGCGGGCAGGAGCCCGGGAATCCGACGCTGCGCGTGGGAGGCCGGGCAGAGGCCGCGGATCGCCGTGGGCAGGCGGTCGTCCTCGGCCCTCGGCGAGGCGCTCTCCGGCTGCCCCACGCTCTGCCCGTCTCCGGCCGGTGGGACCGCGGGCACAGCTGTTTCCACCCTGCCGGGGAGCGCCGGGGAGGAGGGGGGAGCATCCCCGCGGCGGCCGTCCTCGCGCAGGGGCGCGGAGGGGAGCCTCCCCCGCGGGGCGCACGCCGAACTTCGCCCTTTCTTCCCCTCCGCCGCCTTTATGCCACAACTTCGCGGCCGCGACTGTCCGCGGCCACCGGCCGACACCCCCGCTCCGCCCGCCCGCCCGCCCGGCGATCCCCCGACGCCCCGAGGTCGGGGAAGGCCGCCCGGAGCCGGGCCCTGCGGTCCCGGGCGAAGCCCCCTCTCCGATCGCTCGCCCCATCTCGGTGGCCCCCTCGCCCACCCCGTTGGAGCAGCTCCGCTCACCTGCATTGACGCCATGATGAAACCATCCCCCCAAGGCCAGCGAGGCCTGAGACGCAGGGGGCGGAGCCGCCGTGCTCGCGTCACACCGCGGGGGCCCAACATCCCGGGCACGGGGGCGGGGTCGACGATGGGAAGGGGCCTGCGCGTCCGATTGGCTGGCACGCGGGCACCCGGGGGCGGGGCGGGGCGGGGCGCCTTGGGTACCTTGCATCCCAGCCAGTTTCCACGCGGGCCCACCCTGTGTTCGGGCCGCAGTGTAGACTGAGGTCACAAAGCTGTTTGGATCCGCCGGGTTATTTCTGAGGGGGAGCAGAGGAGGGTTTTCCAGCTACAGATGTAAGATTTATGGGGATTTTTATTTTTATTTTTTTTAAACCCAGCTTCGTATGAAAAGCGTTTCACTCCTGAGCCAGATACAACTTCGCCTTTGGATGCTGTCTTGACAGACCCCGGGAGGCTTCTACTTTGGAGGGCAGAGAGTCACAGGTTTCCCTATAGGACAGAATGAAAACTGAGACCAGGGCAACGCTGTGATCTTAAAAGCAAGAGCAGTTGGATTTGTAGAGTTGAAACGTGCTGGGAAGCGAAGAGAGAATAGCAAAGTTTTCTTTTGTGTGCAATATTCCAGCTCCCTTTCCCAACGCTGTGCATTGTAAAACCCCCGTATTCTACAGTAATCGTTGTTACATCATTTAACCTTGATTAGCGATTTGACTCGCCGCGATTTATCAGTATAATCATAGTTCCAGTAAGACACTTAATCTTTGTGCCATGCTTAGATTTCTCTTCAGCTGTTCTGTGTTGGGGCAGTTTCATGATCAGCCGACCCATGAAAGAGTTTGGGTAGGAAACGCTGAGTATACAGAATTTATTCTAGGAATGCACCAGTTCTGCCAACGTTTATCAGAAGTCACATTTTTAAAGCTCTTCCGGAACCGAAGATGTCATTTGGTTTATAAGAGGAAAATGGAAGCCAAAAGCTTGCACCTCGTGTCCTAGCTCTAAAAGAGTCAAGGAGGCTGACATGTTGAGGAGAAGCCTTCTGCTTTACCCGAATGGAAATTTAAATCTTTATTTTTATTGACTTGGCTTCTTTTTTAGACATTTCTCTAAGATATAAATATAATGGCAGTGTAGGATATCACTCTTCACACTTAAGATAGATCATGATGTTCTCTGGGAACATCCGTAAGGAAATGTGTTCAAAAAAGGAAGAGATCTTTATGCCAGTTATTCTATGGCATAATCGAGACAGCTTATCCTCATCACAGAGACGCTTTCCTTGGGTATTCTCTGCCCTCCCTAGTCTCTTCACTCTTTTACCAGAAACGGGCTTTCTCCTTTTCTATGGAAAATGTGATCTTGAGGGAGTTTGCATGACTCGGAAATCAAGATTCAACCAGAAGCATATCGGGTGTCCGTTCAGTTGTGTCATCACCATTACAACATAGAATAAAACCTACATAGACCAGTGAAAGAGGTAAGCTTGTAGGAAAGGTTCCCAACTATTCATTCCAGACACCTCTGACCCTGTGATTTCAGGTTGTAATTTACCAGCTAATGTTAATTTTGTTTCAAAGCTGATTCTTCCTAAAGGTGTAAGTGACAAAAGGTGACAGCACAAACAAAGCATTATGACTTCATCACAGAGCAAATACCCTGCCAGGCAAGCTACTCAGGAGGGAGAAAAGTAGTTACAGGAATTTTGGTGTTGCTTACAGTAGGTCTTAGCCTCATATGTGTTCAAAGCATCTTCACAGGCGGGGAAAAAAATCAGTCATAGCCTAGGAAACTTTAAGCCTATCATCTTTATACTTTAGTTAATACATAATAGAGGGATGGGGTGTATAGTTAATGGAAAAGTCCATGGTTAACATGCAGGATTTGATCTCCAAGCACTGAAAGCAAAACTAAGGCCAAAAGTACACAATAGAATGTTCCCAACATGCTCAGGAGCAAAGAATGTGGCTTTCAGGTGGTATAGAGGAATATCTTCAGTGACCATAAAGTGTTCTCTAAAACTCTTGGCTGCCCATTATTGGATGAAGATGCTTACATTTCTTTCTCAGCATGTGGCTTATTAGTAGACAGGCAACTTTTTAAAAAAAATGCCTGATAATACCAAAAGGGGAAGAAGAAGTGAATCTTTAACCATAAAGTTGGAGTTGACACAACTCTGTTAGAAAATGGCTCAGCAACAATGAAGTAAAAGAGAAGCTGTTGAAAAGCAGTATTTGCAGCTGGGTGTGATGTGGTGGTGTACGCCTGTAATCTCAGCACTTAGGGAGGTAGAGGCAGCTGGATCTCTGTTTGACGCCAGCCTGTTCTATTTGGAAACAAACAAGCAGTATTTGCAATAAAACATAAGTATTAAAAATGCAATGTGTTAATGTCACATAATGATTCAAACAAATTGTAAAAAGATACCTTTGAGACAACTGGAATAAAAATACAATGAATATTAAGGAATTGTTATTATTGTTCAGCTAGGCGCATGCCTTTAGTCCCAGCACTCTGGCTCATGGTCAACCTGGTCTACAGAGCAAATTCTAGGACATCTAGGACTATTCAGAGAAACCCTGTCTCTAAAGGGAGGGTTGTTATTTATACAAAATTTAATAATGGTGCTAGTCGTGGTGGTGTACTACTTTAATCCCAGCATTCAGGAGGCAGATCTCTGGAAGTTCAAGGCCAGCCTGGTCTACAAAGCAAGTAAGCAAGTACAGGACAGCCAAGGCTATGCAGAAAAACAAACAAAAATTACACACACACACACACACACACACACACACACACACACAAACATTTTTGAGGCAGGGTTTCTCTGTGTAGCATTGGCTGTCGTGGACATGCTTTGTAAACCAGGCTGGCCTCAAACTCACAGGGATCTACCTGCCTCTGTCTCCCAAGCGCTGGGATTACAGGTGGGGGGCACCACACCCAGCTTAAAAAAGAAAAATTAATAATGGTATGTAGTGGAAGTTTTGATGTCTTTAAAAACTTACTTATGTTTTAATTCTAGGTGTAGGATATGGGGCTGCTTTAGAGTGGCCACAGCAGCAGACTATTTGCCTAGTGCAGACTCTGAAAGGGGTTTGATCTTTGCCAGCTGCAGATAGTTTAATTCTGAGAACTCTGGAGAGGGAATAAATGCCAGAGCCTGGAGAGAGATGGGGAAGAGGGTCCTCAAAGAAGGCTGATGATGCTCTCGATTCCCTGCTGCTCCTGGTTGTTGTTGATGCAGTTTGATGAGAAGAAGTTGGAGAGATCCTGAAACAAAGATTGGACTTGCCCCCAAGGAACCCAAGAACCCTAACTAGCAGGAAGTAGCTAAAGAGAACTATGTCCCCTCTACCCACTAACTTGCTTTCTCTCCTACCTAATATTGGGGGGGGGGTGGAGGTTGGAAGGTATTAGGGTGGATAAAGGAGAAGGGAAGAAGAAATACAAAGAAACAAACCCCATTAAAATATTTAAAATGTAGATGCTTACAATGGTATTCAGTCTTTCAGTTCCACAGCAAATATCAGCTGGGAAGTAGAGGCAGGTCTTCCTCATCTCCTCAACTGTTCTCACTTCCAACTCTTGTAAGGAAGAAAACAAACAAACAAACAAACAAAAAAAAAAACAGATTATAATAGGTGAGCAGGTGTCTGGATTACCCCTTCCTGGGGGAAAAGGAAATTAGATAATGTAGACCTGGATAACCACCGCACATTCTGATTAGATGGAGGAAAGATGAGACCCTCTAGTAATATCGGGGGACCCACAAAAGACACTGGGTCACAACTGCGATGTTTGTAATGCAATGTACCTAGATGGTTTGGGTCTATGACTCCCTAGACCAGAATGTCAGCAGCAATCTGCTGAGGCTTTGCTCACTGAAGTACAAGGAGGTAGGGCAGAGGCAAGGGTCTTCTTGCCTGAGTCCGTCTCCAAGGAGCCGTCCATGGTTGAAATGGAGGCATTCAACAACAAACAGCTTACTGGAGGATAGAAAAGGCATTAAATGAGAATTTGAGGTTTGCATTCTCATTCTAGCCCTGCCAGTCTATTTCCTATGGCACAACCTGCATGGTTTTCTCTGTATTTCAAATTTTGTAGAGCTAGTAAAACAAAATTTTAAAAAAAACTTTTTTTTTTCAAGATAGGGTTTCTCTGGTGTAGCCCTAGCTCTGTATACTAGGCTGACCTCAGACTCAGAAATCCACCTATCTCTGCTTGCTGGGATCAAAGGTATGTACGACAATGCCCAGCTTTTGAAAATGGAAATCTTAAATGATTTGCTTAACATGCCATCCTAAGGGGCAAGGAGCATAGTTCAGCGATGGGGTCTTCTTGCCTGCCATGCTCAAGACCTGGGGTTTCCACCCTCAACACTGCACAAAACAAACACAATAACCAAAAACTCTAAGACACGATTGAAACATCATTTTGAGCTTGTTTGTTGTTTGTTTGGTTTGGTTTTGTTTTTTTCAAGACAGGGTTTCTCTATGTAGCCCTGGCTGCCCTCTACTCACTTTGTAGACCAGGCTAGCCTGGAACCCACAGAGATCTGCCTGCTTCTGCCTCCCCAAGTGCTGGGATTAAAGATGTGGGCCACCACATCGGGCTCCATTTTGAGCTTTAAATCATAGGAATTAACTTGGAATTTCCTTGTAGTCTATATAGAAATATCTGGAATTTTAGTGGTTCACTGCAACTGTCTAGCACCATAGGTAAGTGTAGTAACAGCCAGCACTCATTTTAAGAAATGGTCAAAATTCAAAGTTCAGTTTCTACTGTATATGCATTACTTTCATAGTATCACAAAATTCAAAAATTAGTGCTTGAAACAAACCAGGGATTATCTGGGCTTCATTCTTTTCCCTGAGCCTTATTTTTCCCCCAGATTTCTTTAGATAGGCTTTTAGTGATTATTTGAGATGGATATGGTTCCTTTTTGTTTTTCTATAAACCTCTTTAAAACCCAAGTGAGATGCATTCTCTTAGATCATCATGAGACATGAGTCTCATGCAGTCAGTCAAGCCAGCTAGAGTAGCCAAGCTGTACATGGAAT